GCGGTTCAGTGGGACACTACGAGAAAGAAGAATTCATCACACAAGAAAATCCTACCGAAGAGTTTATGGAATCGAAGATCGACATTTCTCCCATTGGACTTGTAATAGGGGTTTCAGAAGTCTTCAAAAAGTTTGGCGAGGTTAGTAAAACTTTATATATATATATATATATTTAATAAATGATTGATTAACTAAATTGAATCTATCTATATATTCGTAGGGAATTTATGAGCATTCTATCATGGATGCTATCACAGATGAACAACAAAAAGGGGTAGAATTGCATGTGATGCTGATTGTCGGGTATGGCAAGACGACAGATGGAAAAACGTTTTACCTCGTCCAAAATTCTTGGGGGACCGGTTGGGGCAACAAAGGCTTCACCCGCATCCTAATTAAAGGTAAGTGCGCCATAATCTTTCCGGTCAACCCGCCAGATGCTCCTGAGGCTTAGTTTACTCTCATTTTTATTGTTTAAAAAATGGAGTTGTGATCTCTTTGTTTTGTGAACTGCTCTCAGATAGCTCAAACAATAGAGTTGTGGTCTCTTTGTTTTGTGAACGCTTCTTGGATCTGTTTTGCAATATATCTGTGGACATTATATCTTTTTGGATCGTATAAATATATTAAATAAAACTAGGTTTGTTTATACGAATGTTCCTGTTTTGGTGGTTTACCAAATTTGTCGGAAAACTTGAGATCTTTTCAAGTTCGACAAAATACACAAAGTCGTCTGGAATACACAGAAAGTGGTTCGAAGTAAAAAGAAAAGCGTGACCATACACGTAAAAGATGATGTTTTAGATGGTGTTATACAATACATCATACAGTATGATCGGAGATAAATGTATGATACCAAATAACATTTGGTCCATTAGGGCGTGTGACTTGGACAAGATACAAGTCTGCAAATGGATTCCTAGGCAGTAATTTCAAAAGCTTCACAGCTAACATGACAAAAGATAAAAGAGTAGAGGTCTTTCTTTTACTCTGAAATAGACATCAGAAAGTTCGAGTTCTTCTTTGCATAAGATTAGATAATGACCAGAAAGATCAACAAAATAAGTTCTCACAATTTTTGGATAGCAATAAAGGATGTCTTACACATAACCCATAATTTACTTAATCCACTACAGACTTGATCCTAGCAAAGCTCATGGCAATCTGGCTAACACGATCATCATCATCATCCAACCTATCATAAGAAAAGCACATTCAGCTGTCAAGCAATTTTGCCATCCAACAAAGAACAAGTGTATTGTAAACGAAAAGTTAGAATAACCGTCGGTTTGTTTCATGTATTTCCACATAACATACCAACAACCATCTCATATCTTAAACCATCACCTTTTCAAAGAAACATCCCTCAAAACATATATCCCTGGTTCAAACACTAATCCCCAAGACGTTAAAAAAAACTAGTTGTAGATGTAGATGTAAGAATTTATACCTGGAATAAATCGGATCACCAAAACCCAATGTCATAGGATCAAATCAAAAAGCAATACCGAATCTTGTTTCGCCTGACTCCGTCTGTGGTTTTCGCTATTCCTCTCGATACCTTGCTCACATCTAAATGTTCAAATGTTGCAGAAGAGGAGTCAATCAAACACGAATCTAAAAACGCATAAACTGCTAAAGCCACCACTGAAAAGTGTAAAGTAGATGGAACCCACCTTTCGCTTCAGAAGCTTTTCTGCAAAAGATGGGATAGAGCATCTCCAACCACACCCTATACAGGGTTTTAGCTTGGTATTCTACAAGCTCTTTATCACCAGGCTTCTCCTTAGCCATAAACGTAATGTACGACACGGTACCAATAGTCGATCTAGTAACCGCCCTCACAATGTGATCGCATTCAACACTAGTTCCCTATCACAAGAGATAAATGGAATTGCAACTAATCTAAGAAACTATATATATATTAGGCAGCACAAATCAAAGAAAGGTCCACTTGCCTCTATCCGGTTGTACTTCTCAAGAGCAGCAGCGACCATCTTTTCCATGTACTGGCGGGCAGTTTGGCCAGGTAAGATCTCGGAATCGAGTACAACGGGAAAATATCCCCCTACACATCTTGGAGCACTTCCAAAATCCACCTTGAAACCCTAAGCGAAAAGCATAACCACTCAGAAAATTAATCCAAAAAGTCTATCTTTTCAAGTTCAACTACGAACGAACAGGATAAATGCTACCCTTGACTCAAGGAATTTGTTGTTAAAGTAAAAGATATACCCTGGACTCGTAAATCTGGCGAAGATATCGACGCAATTTGAGATCAGTCTCCTCATCGGAGAAATACTCCTCATCGTCGTTAGGAGATTCGTACTCCGAACCATCAAAGCTGTCGACACCCCATTCCGGTAGGTCCTCCGCGCTGCTGTTATCGCTTTCTCCGGCCTCATTCTCGACCTCCATCTCGCCATCTTCGCCGTCGTCCTCGGGATCAGACGCATATTCGGAATCAGAGGCGTCTTCTTCGGCCTTGCGCTTCTTGACGGACGAATCAGCGATCCCCATTGACTCCGTTTTCGTCTCCTGCTCGTTCGGAGCTTCTTCAGTCATCGTCTTGCTCTCGCTCGGCGATTTCGGATCCATGGTCGAAGAAGAAACCCTAGACAATCGATTTGGGAACCTAAAATAAAGGCGAGAATGAGAATACCTTATTCCTCTCCGTCGGTCACAGAAAACACTCTTATATTTTGCCTTTTTGCCTTTTTGCCTTTTTCTTTATTGGGAAAATCCCAAAACCATAAACCATCTTTATTGTGAAACTAAGGGCCAAAATATCTGAATCTTATACTTACGCTATTGCCATCACATTCAGTGGTTTTGACCTTTTCGTTTTTCCTTTTTTTTTTTTTTGAAATTATGGAAGCTTTGACTGCTATTTGTATTTTTCATACTACATCCAAACAAAAAATTAAACAAAAAATACTATTCAATATTACAAAAGTCAATAAAATTCTCAAAAAGACAAAAAACTCTCTATTTCTTTCAATTTAAAAAATTCAAAAACTAAAAAAAATTAAACTTATGTAACTTTCCTTTTATTCCCCCCTCTCTCCTAACTTTATTATTCTTTCATTTTCTCTCTCTTCATAAATCTTTTTCTTCTCTTTCCTAACTCTCACGTTTTTAGTTCTCTCACTCTCTTTCAAAACTTTTAATCTTTTGCGTTTTGTGCAATCTTTTGTGTTTTGTTCTATTTTCTATTTAAATCTCCGGTTAGATTCAAGATTTGAAGAAGAAATAAAAACCGTATGGAAATTGTAAGGTTAGAAAAAAACATGGTAGGTTAAACTTCAATTTCTTTTGGATTTGTTGGATTTTGAAATTTGTTATTGTTGAGTTGAATTGTGGTTTTGGAATTTGACCGATAGAAATTTAGGGTTTTGGATTTTTCAAATTTCATTTAGCCACCAAAAATCGAGGAGATAGAAGAAGCAGTGACGACATCGAAGAAATGACAAGTTCATGTTAATCTTCGTCGCATTTTTCGAGCAAAAGTGTGAACTGTATGGAGATTCCGGAGTTAGATGAACACAAGGTAGGTTAAAATTCAATTTATTTGCAAATTTGTTTGATTTTGAGATGTGTTCTTGTTGGGCTAAAATGTGGGTTGGGGATTTGAACGATAAAGTATTAGGGTTTTGGATTATTTTTTTTAAATTTAGGGATTTCGAAATAGAATGTTGGTTTGCGGGTTTATGGATCAAATCAAATGAAATAGTTGAGTTTCGGTCAAATAAGACAGTCATATAGATCACATCACGGTATGGATCGTTGTTTGGATGTATAGATGACATGAAAATTTGGATGACATGAGGATTCAAATGCTATGGTCTCACGGTCGCAGTCATAAAGGTCATAGTGTCACAGGATCATATAGGTACCCCTATATCACAGTATACAATAGTCACGGGTCACATGGTCACATGGTGACAAGATCACATGATCATATATGGTCACATGGTCACAATGTCACACGGTCATAGTTACAAAGATCACAAGGTCACATGGTCATATAGGTACGTCTATATCACAATATATAATAGTCACGTGTCACATCGTCACATAGTTACATGATCACATAGTCACATTGTCCTATAGTCACATGGTCACAAGGTCACAAGGTCACATGGTCACAAGGTCACATAATTCGGATTGACTATATTGCATATAGAAAGGGGTGAAAAAACACTTCTTTTTTATTCGGAAGGGTATGAGGGGAGTACAGATAGAATGGTTCAGTTTTGGATAGACATCTGAAAACGAACTTGGTTACATGGTCACATAGTCACACAATCTCATAGTCACATAGTTTTATAGTCATATAGTCACATGGTCACAGTATCATACGATGATATCTAGAAAATATTATTGACATATATTATTTTATTTTGTAGTACATGGAAGAGACAATGTATGAAATCCACACCTGCATTATAAAGCATCACGTGACCTACATAGGATATAACTATTTGACTTGTGATACCATGTTCATAGAGTTGATAAACGCATAAGTAGAATCGAAAGACATGACTACAAATATTTCAGAAGACGAAAATGTGAATTTTTAATTTATTTCAATAAATTTACTTTATTTATTTTGTTTTGAATCATAACTATGATATGCTTTTCTTTATTTAGTAGTAGACTAAATTATGAACTCTTGTATTTAATTTTTTGTTTATTAGAAATCTGAATTTATTTGTATTTTATGTAAAATATGGGTCTAAATTATTGTATGAAAATCTTTAAACTTAAATTGATGGAGAAAAAAATATAGGGTTAAAATAAAATTACGTTTTTTTCCAATTGTGAAATGAGTTAAATTGTCAAAGTAATCCTCACAAGAAACCTAGGTTGAATTGTCAAAGTGGTCCACACAATAGAATAAGAGAAAAATTATGGGTTGAAAATATTGTAGGTGAAAATTTGGGGTTAAAAAATTAGGAGGAAAAAAATATAGGGTTAAGAGGGAAATTATATAGGATTGAATATTCAAAATAGACCCCATATTAAAATTAAAAAATGAAAATAATGTTTGTGGACCCCACAAAATATAAAAATCTGGACCCCACAACCGGTCACAACCTTCGATCCATGCGATTTTTGTCAATTTAATTACTCTACAATGTCACACATCTCTCATAAACCTATTCTATTTTGTTTCGAACATTAGAATATGGTTTTTGCGATTTTTTGTTTCAAAGTTATTCTTTCAAATGTGTTTCTATATATTTCATAGTGTTTTATGAGTGTTTTTGACAAATTTGGAATATTTCTTTTACAAACCCCTTAAAATATTTTGAAAATTTCTCACACACACTATATATTTGATATATAGATTCTGATAAACCATTCTGAAGTTTAAAAATTAAATTTTGGCCTATATTTATCAACACATTTCGGTCACAAGTCACAGTCGGTCACAATAATCACAAAGTGTAAAATTGGACTTCAGTCACACGGTCACATGCCGGTCACAATGGGTCACAACATTGGCTCATGTGAGTCAATTTATTTAGTGTACAACACAAGTCAGATATATGCGAAAATACAAGGTTAAGAGTACATCATTATTATGGTACAAACACAATATTATCCAAAATTTTTAATACATTATTGTACAAATATATTACAAAATTATTATACAAAAGTCTTTCGACATTATTGTACAACTGTTTTGTAATACATTAGTATACAAATACACCACATAATTATTATACAAATTATGATTCTTTTTTTACTCTAAATTAGTCGTTCTCTTCTCAATGTGTATGAAAAACCTGGATTTCGACACTGGCTTACATATTTTCAATTTCTCACTAATTTCCCTTTAATTTCGTCTGATTTCTGATCATAGATCACAGTCTGATCACAATTGGTAAAAATATAGGGTTAAAATAAAATTATATTTTTTTCAATAAAAAATCTAGGTTGAATTGTCAAAATGGTCCACACAATGGACTAAAAGAAAAATTATGGGTTAAACCCTTAACCGGTTCAATCCAGTTATTACATTATTTCGGTTCAATTTAAGTAAACCGAAATGACGTGGCATTTTTAAAACATGCGGCAAATACGTGGATAATTCCATCAGTTCATTCAACACGATATTGATGCCGTTATTGTCAATGTTGGAATGTGGAAATTATTCGTGTCTTTATATGATAATTTTTAAAAATTCATGCATGCATGTATTTTTATGATATTGTATTTTTTTTTTCTACCTTGTAAACTTCTTGTGTGACATTTGTTTTCTTCATCATTTACATAATCATTTTTTTTTAAATATTCTTGAGTCTATATGAATAAAGAAATGTTCATAAACGGGAATGCATGGATACCTGAATCATTCGGGACATTATCAAAAATGCCATTACTTTGCTACATTGACTTCATGGCATACCCCTCACTTGGCGGAAAAAAAAAACATCTTCAGACAATACCTTTATAAAATTGCTCTCTCCATAATACCCTCGACACCTTTTTTTAATCTCTCGACTTGCGTTTCTCTCTCTTCTTATTTCTCTCTCCTTGCGCAGTTTCCCACCTTCTCTCCCGATAAATTTCCGCCGAAAAAAACAGAAATTACCGGCGAAATCGCAGCGAATCTACCGGCAAAATCCTTCGATTTGCCTCGCGTTTCTCTCTCTTCTCGTTTCTCTCCCCATAAATTATCGCCGAAAAAAACCAGAATCCACCGCCGAATCTACCGGCGAAGTCTCACCGATTCTACCATCAAAATCGCCTCAAATCACAGCAGTTCAGTGAGATCTGTATAGATCTAGGAAAAAGGCAAGTTGTCATCGCACAACCCAATATTTATTTTCGGTTTAATTCGACCTAACATGTGTATAGATATGACCTCATTTTTCTTATATATATCACTAAAACCGGTGTTGTATAGACATTTTACACTGGCTACTCTGGTCACTTTGGTCACACTGGTCACTCTGGTCACACTGGTCACTCTGGTCACACTGGTCACGTTGGTCACACTGGTCAAGTTGGTCACACTCGTCACGTTGGTCACACTGGTCACGTTGGTCACTTTGGTCACACTGGTCACGTTGGTCACACTGGTCATGTTGGTCACTCTGGTCACACTGGTCACTTTGGTCACTCTGGTCAGACGCATATGTTCTTGTCTGCTCCGCCGCTAAGGAGGAGATTCCCGGCGGCGGCGAGACAGAGAACCGCCGTGCGGTGGCCGTGAAGGGTTCCACCATGGGAGAGGGGTTTCTGCCTCTCCCAGAAGTTAACGGAACCGTCAGAGGCTCCGCAGGAAACAACAGCCGCCGTCAAGTTGACGGCTAAAGCCGTTACCGC